GACTTTTGGTGTCACGTTTAAGAAACTGTTGCCTGATCCAAGGTCACAAAGATGAAGGTGTGTGTTTCCTTCTGGAGTCGTACAGCTGTGTAGTTTTAGCTCTTACATTTACGTCTCTGTAGTAATTGTTTTGGCTTCCGAGTCTCCTGCAATTCCATGTGGTTTTAGGATCAATTTGTCAATTTCTGCAAAAAAAGACAGAGTTTTAATAGTGACTGTAAGATTTAGATGGGTCTGATTCCTTCACGTGGGACGTATTCCTGGGTATTTTACAGTCTTGCAGTTGATGACAGTGGGATTTTTTTTCCCATTTTCATTTCTGTCGCATTATTGCCAGTTGAAAACAGTTACTGATTTTTGTAAAGACACCTGTTATGCGGCTGCCTCACCCAATTCCCTCATTTGTTAGAGTAGATTTTATTGACATCTCCTGGGTGTCTAAACGTAGCCGTGTCTTCCAGTCCTTCTACCAGTTATTTTATTGTTCTGTCTACTCGATCAGCTTCACCCTTCAGGACAACCTTGATGAGCATGGCGATGACAGCTTACCTTTCTACCTTGTCGACGAAGTTCTAGGCAGTGGTTTTGGTAAACAGTCTGTATTTAAATTGGCTTCTTTTTTTCCTGTTTTTCTTAAAAGTTGTTGTTAGGACACGTGACTGAATTTTGTTATCTTTCAGCACCTACACAGAAAAGAATATGGTTCTTAGCTTGTTGATGTGGTGAGTCACGCTGGCGGATCTCCCCAGGCGGACCCATCCTTGCGTCCTGGAGTAGCACCTGCTTGGTCGTGGAGCAGCAACTCTTTCTTTCACATTTTTACATACACATTCACAAACAGAGCTGTCGGTTTCCTTCCTTTTATGCTGTCCCACGTTCTGTTACCTCGTCTGTGAACTGCAGTGCTCTTCTATCAAATTTACACTCTAAATAGTACTGGGATTATTTTTAGATGCTTCAGACCATCTAGACCAGGAACCTGTACAAAATCTGTTGTAGTTATCTTTCTGCTTTCTTCTGTGGTCGCTGGGGCTGTTCCCTTTCACGTTTTAATTTCAGTCGTGTCAAACCCATTGGTAAAGGGCCTGCTATCAGATGCCGCCTACTTCTCCCTCCCTGTCTAGTTCTGTTCTCAAACGTGGATCCTGGGGGGTGGGGTGGGAGGGGCTTGGAGGTGACCCCTGGCTGGGACTTAGTTTACTGAGAGCATTTTTTACTTTGCGCGTATCCAGCAAAAGGAGGGTGAAGCTTCCCCGTGGAGGGAGACAGCCACCCCGTCAGCATCGTCCATCCGGGGGTCCAGCCCCTAACAGCCTGGCTCCTCCCCCTCTGCGCCCACCCCCGCCTGGCCTCGTGCCCCCTGGCCTTGCCGCTGGTCCCCAGCATCTTGCTGCGCAGGTGCCCCTCCCTGCACCCCTCCTAGACTCGGCCAAGAAAGCAGGAGAGCTGCCTGCCCAGGCGCCCCGACCTCCTTCTGGTCTTGGGTGCGTGAGCTTGATGTGGAGTCCCGGGAAGGTTAGAGATACTGACCTGCATTCATCTTGCAGTGATGTAACCCTGCGTCTCATGGGATCCATGTGTTTGGACCCCATTTGAGAGCCTAGGTGGGGTCTGGCAGATGTCGAACATTTACTAGGAAGGCTTCCGATTCCTTCAGATGCTCAGCATCGTCGCCCTGGACTAGCACATCTCTTACCATTTCTCAGTCTTGCCCACGCCTGTGGCTCTCATATCCATTCTGTTCCCAATAACGGCACATTTGTCTTCTGTTTCTGAATTGGACTTGACAGATGTTGGCCTATTTGATTTTGCAAAGAAAACTTACCCTTGCCACAGTTTTTTTGGTTTTGCTTCTTTTTGTTTTTCGTCTGTGTTACATCCCTCTCCCTGCTGGTTGACACTGTTGGTTTTCTTAATCTGAATTGTCTGTTTCACTTATTTTCAATCATTTTGAAAAATAAAAGTATTTCAGGCTATAGGTTACCTGAATATAGGTTCCATATAAGGTGTAAGTTTTATGACTTCCCAGATAGTTTGTAATTTCCTCTTTGATCTGGGGGTCATTCAGGGGACAGTCTCTTGGTTTCTAAGTAGGTTTTTTTCGTCATTGCATAATTTTATTGAATGTGACTCGATTATGATCCAAGAATGCGGCCTGTAAAGTCTACTGTGGGGCATTTAGTAAGGATTTCTTGGTGGCTGATAAATAATTGAGTTTTGTAAATATTCTATCATATAAGAAGTGATCGCTGACTTTAGGTTCCTTCTATTGTTTAAACGCTGCGTGTTTTTGCCGGTTGGACTTGTCAGAATTCTGGAAGACTGTTCCTGGGTTGTTTGTGAAGAACCTGCACTTCCGGGAGCTCTGGCCCCAGGTGCCTGGTGCGCAGCCCCTCAGGGCGGGCGCTTGTCCTGGTTCTGAAGTACCCCGTGGCCGAGGCGTGGCGCTCTCTGGCGCCTGGACGCGGCTGTCGCTCTCGCCTGGCAGGTGGACGCGGCTCACCTTTTACGTTTAGCTTCCTCACTTTTAGGTGTTGCAGATTTTGTTCTGACTCAGTTTGGGAGCCTCTGTTTTGATTGGGAAATCAGCTCGTTTGTTAGTTTTTGGAAGCAACTGACGTCTGACTTTATTCTTTTTGTGCCGCTTCTGTTACATTTACTACGGTTTACACTCTGTTTGCTCTTCCTTTTCCCCTCACTTTCGCGGCTTTTAAGTTTCTCTTGTTCCCTGTTCTTCCTGCAGCGAATTTGGGCCCCACCCTTGGGGATGCTGCGGGCGGTGGCCTTGCCAGCCTGTGTCTGCGTCGCCCCTGCCCAGGCCGCCCCTTGAGCGCAGAGGAGATGCTTACAATACTCTCGTCCCCCTCCCCTGCCTGAAATTCAGAGTTTGAGCAGCGTACTTGTGCGTCTTTTCTAAAGGCCACGGCTGCCGGGACACGCGGCCCCCCATCAGGGAAGGCCCCTCCGCCGCCCCCGGCGGTAACCATGTCTCCATCTGGAACCCCCATTCCTCGAGGTCTCCTAGGTGCGCTTCTCAAGCGCCTTTCCCACCACGACCTCCCTGTCTGGGCTCCTCCCCACCCCAGCTCTGAGATGTCTCTTCCACCTGAAGGTCTAGGTTACTCCCCAGCCAGACATCCTCTCAATCTGGGCCTGGCTCTGAGCTCTCCTTACTGCTTTTGATCAAGTCTCTGCCATTAACTGCTCCTTCTGGCCACCCCAAGAGTGGGGTTCCCCTCCCTCTGAGGCCCCCAGGGGAAGGGTCCCCCTTTTGTGCTGTGTGTGTGTGTGTGAGACCCTTGGCCCTGAGCTAGGGGCAGTTTCTGCACCTCTGGGCCGGGGTGAGAACTGGCAGACCACCCTCTCCCACCCTCGGGGTGGGAGCAGCACCCCTGCCCCCAACCAGCAGCCTCCCCGGTTCTCTCTCTCTTTCCTTTTTGCCGCCTCCTTGCAGAAGCCATGAACTTCTGATCTTCGTCTAGGCTTTGGGGCTGCCCCACTGTTTGACAGGTGTTAGCGGCATGGGGTGTGGTCTCAGGGCCTGGAAGTGGTGGTCCGCCCTCCTCTGCCAGGCCTTTTGTGCTCGGCCTGGAGGAGGGGCTGCTTTCTGGTAACCTGCACACAGAGACTTTCTTCCTGCCAAGACATGTGTCCCCAGGGCTTCGTCCCATGTGGAGGGTACCTTCCCCTGACTCAGGGGCAAGAGGCAGCCCTGCTGCCTTAAGGGGCATCCCTCCCTCCAGCTGCCCCTGCTCTGTCCAGGCCCAGAGTGGAGCTCGCAGCTTCGTGCCCTGGGATCTGAGAGGAGAGGGTGTTGGGACAGCCAGAGCCGGGCAGGGAGAGCCTGCCCTCCGGCCACACGGACCAGAGTCAAGCACCAGGCATCAGTCAATAAAAATGTTGGTTTATTTTCATTTTCCACCTGGACTTTTACTTAATTTACTTTAAAAAATACTCAGAATGTACAGTAAGACAAAAGAAACAGAAAGTCAGTCTCAGGTCCCACCACGCAGGAGCAGCTACCGCTGCTAATTCTGTACATCTTTCTAA